GGAGCCGGGGCGCTGGGGGTGGCGGCTGAGTGGCGCCAGACTGCAGGTAGGGCCCAGCAAAAGGCGGCCTAGACGGGGAGGAGGCCGAGCTACCAGGGTTAACTAGTGGGTCCTCCCAGTGCGTGACACCGGTCGTGGTCCGTTTGTCTTCCCACATGGTACCTCGGTCTGGTTTTCTTACGCTTGTTAAGCGGAATGGTTCTCCAGGTCATCCCAGGGGGGTGCAGCAGGCCTCGCAGCGAGTGCGGGAGCGCCGCTGCCGCGCCCTCAGCGCCGGTAACAAGACACAGGCCTGGTAGGCCCGAGCGTGGTGATGAGGAAGCTGAAGGGCCCCGGCTCTGCCCTGCGCTCTGTGCAATGGTGCCCTAAGTGAAATGTAACGCCTCGGGAACAGAGTAACTACTCGGGACGCGTGGGGTCACCTTTTGCGCCTGCGGGAGGATCCTGGGGATGTCCATTGCAATGGAATCACCCTTGCCTCAGCTGAGACCACCGTATAGAAAATTTCACTGTATGGATACCGGTTTTAGTAGCCCGATGGCTGATTATTGGTATGAGCGTTGTGTGCACAGGACTGGTTTGTTGTTGTAGCTGTAGCGCATATCTTCTCTAGCCTAAATTTGAGCATGACATCCCGTGTGGCAGTGTGTGCCTGGGGTTGTTTAGAGCATTCCTTCTCTAAGTAGGCACCAGAGACTTCAACATGTGGCTACCAGGCAAATATTTAACTTTTGTAACTGCTGTGTCTGGAGGAGCTGTGGCCACTGCTAATTTTTTGCATGTGTGACCACAGCAGAAGTTGAAAGAGTGCATAAGTCCCTAAGCTCAAAGGCTTTCATTTACAGAGATCTGATCCAATTTCATATCGCCATTCATGCATATAATTATATGTAGCTATTCTTCTTTTGTTTGGCTTTTTCTTTATATTGGTAAATACAAAGCTTGGCTTTGTGCTGATGCTTGGTCTGCACTAACGTTCACTTTATAGCAGTAGACAGGCATTGCTGACAGATTCAAATTATGCCTTAACTATGCGCACAAGTTGCATCTACCTAATTAGGGCAAAATAGAAATAAACTGATTTCATGGTGTGAACAGAAGGTAGTTGCACTAATTTACTAGTTTCTAAGCTGGCTTGCTTAAACTGTTGAAAGACTAAAGCTTTGCATATGATATTGTAATTCTCTAGGGCAGAACAGGCTAGAGAAAAAGAAAAAGAAATGGCTTTACCCAGCATGAAGACAAGAAGTGTCTTCAAACTGCATCATGTCAGCTCCATTTTCAATATATTGATTTAATCTGCCTAAAATTTTAGAGTAAGTTCGTCACCATGTATTATCACAGGCCTGTTGAAAAGCAAGGTTCTGAAATATTTTTAATTCTGTCTGTTGTTTTAATAATGTCTGTTGTAGTACTTACTTTGGTTTCATTAGTTTTAATTGACAAATACCTGATGATAGCATTGATTCTTAAGTACTAACAATAAATAAGTAAGTTGCCTAAAAGAAACTTTGTCATTTGCTAACTGCTGTCTCTAGTGATAGAGTGTTATTTACCAGAAGGTTTTTTTAGTTCTCAACTTTGGTGGTTTAAAAATTATTTTTAAAAATCTGCAGTTCATGTTGCATTGTCAGTATCAAACCAAACTCCATAGCGAGCGAGTAGCTTAGGCTGTAATTCAGTTCATTGTCATTTTATGTCTTAAGTGGTTGTTTTTTGCAGTTTAAAAGATAAATTGCCACTGTGTTATTTTTTCTGTCTGTTCCAGGTACTGCTCTTCGAAAGTTCAACATTGACTTTGTTGTAACTCTGCTGCGGCAGGAAAATGCTAAAGACATCTGTGTCATCAAGCTACCACCAGAAATGAAGTACTGTGATTATTTTATAATTGTGAGCGGATCTTCAACGCGACATCTCCATGCAATGGCACATTACATGCTGAAAATGGTAAGACATTTCCCACTGCACTTTCTGGGTTTTGGGGAATGGTTTCAAATGTTATGAAAGGAATTTCCCCAAGATTGTGTGTATAGGGCTGTACCAGGCAAGATGAAACTAATTATCCTTATGTCATTAAGTCCTGGATACATCTAGCAACTAACTACTTTTTACCTTTAGTGGTACTTCTCAAAATGTACTGAGTATATTTTAAAACCAGACATCTCTATATTTGGAATGGCGCTGACATTAGCACAGCGTGGTGCCTAGAACAAGAGTGATATGAAATGGTTATGATGACCTGTGTCCACTTTAGTCTTCCGTCTAGCAAGGTTCATAACTGTTCTTGCTCATTCAAAGTAGCTTAATCTGACTGTTCTCAAACCCCAATCCATGAAATTCCCAGTTTCTCAGGTGTATGGTAAAGCTGGAAAACATATGGCATGTTATCCAGCACAGGATCTTCTCACAGACTTAGAAAAGCAAACTGCTTTTACGTAGTCGCTATACTGTGCATGCACAGGAGGAAAGGAGAAGCAGCAGCAGCTGTCCTTGCATAGGAATCTCACACTTTTTACCTTTAGCAGAATGAGATTCTCAGTACAAAAATAGAGGTCAAAATAAAAATACAAGTAGAGTTTAGGGATAAAAGATCATACTCAAGGAGGGAGAAACTTTATGGCCAGAAAAGAGCCAGCTGGCTGGTGCAAAACATAGTTGAGGAATATGACCAAGCCCCATCTCAGTGAGTTGTCTGTACTCAACCTGTAGTTTGCCTTCTCTTCACACTAAAATTTCCCTTCTAGACCCCATTTTTCCTTTGGCTCTTGGTTTTACTTTCTTTCATTCCCATTGGTTTCAGCTGTGAAACTTGAGGGAGTAAAGCAGAGCAGTGGAAGTGGTGTTGCTTCACAGTGCCTTTCTGAGCAGCTGAGGGGAGTTTCTTGTGGTCTCTGCAGGAACTGATGCATTTCTGCAAACTAAAATTTTGCTTCAAGCTAGAAGTTGAATTAATGTGATTTGAATATACTAAATTTAAGTGCTTAGTGCTCTATTACTTGCATAACTTGCTGGTCTTAAATTAACAGTTCTTATATCCCCCAGACCAGGAGACATGAATGAATGTCACCCACCCTGCAAGAACATACCTGTGCCACAACTGGCTGCTCCCTCTGGTGGCTGTCAGGGCAGCAAGGGCAGAGCCTCTGGGGAGACCTGGCGTCCTCCTGGGCATCCTGAGAAACCAGGAAGCCTGGCCAAGCACTTGGGAGTGGCTGAGCTTTCCTGACATCAGAAGTTTTCTAGGCAAAAAGTAAGCTAAAACTTAAGCTGTAAAGCAAAGCAAGTGCTTGGGAGTGCTGCTAGGCAGCTGGCTAGCTGTACCATTACAGTATCAATGTTAATATGATAATTCAGAATTTGCTCACACTAAAATGCAGAGGTGCTTATGTGTAGTATGAGGTCTTCCTTCTTTTCTTCTAGTAGTTTGTAAATGGCAGTCTCAGCTACTGCTTACCCCTTCCTGTCTGGTTTCATGGTAGAGGAAGAAATAAGCACTCAGCTTTATTGTAAACTGTTCACCATTACACAGTCTTTAAAGACACGGCTGAAGGAAACTTGTAGTGGAGATCAGCCTTTCCAGGCTCTGTTACATCACTGGTGGCAGTGCATGCTGGGCTCATTAGTATTTTAAGCAGACTTTCATAAAGTCTTTGACAATTACCTGCTCTTGAGGATGTCTCACAAGCTATCTTAAAGAAAAGAAGGTAGAACTAGTTCTGAATTACCTCTTGAAAGTTCTCCATTCTGATTTGCAAACTGGGGCCAGCGGCAGGCAGCTAACAGTGTGTGGGAACTACCAGGAACAGTTGCATTTTGTGATAATTGCTCTCCCAGTGCCCTCATTTGCTACCAATGCCCTGCTCTTACAACCTGTTGTTCTGTATTTTGTCTTTCATGGCAGAAACGACTGTTAGAGCTGTGCAGCTTCACACTCTGTTTCCTTGTGGCCTTGTGCTGAAATAAATGCTTAGTTTGGTTTTTGTTATTTTTTAATTACAGATTGAAAAAGTTTTCCATATTTTTGAATTGGCTGCTTCTACTAGTAATAAGGTTGAAATTTGAATAAAGGAGCTCTGTGAAGACACAGCTGACTTCATCCCCTTTTTTGTTTTCTTTTATACTTGTTTCTTTACAAAAAAACATCAAAAGAGAAAAGGAGACAGTACTTAAGCTTTCTAGTTGTCAAATTTCTTCAACTCTGGTGGATGCTTATATGCTTTATCAGGTGGGAAAAGCTACCATTTTGCATAGGGAACACGACTGCCTTGCCCTAGCTGAGCTTTTGCAGTCCAGCTTTGATCTACCCTCTCCTCTCTCACAGTGCTTTGTAGCTTGGAAACCTATGTGCTGGTCATGTTTTCCACAGTCCTGCAATGAGTGGTGAAAGCATGCTCTCAGGAGGCAGGAGGCTTCTTTGGATGCCTTTCTCATGGCATAGGTTGAAACCTGTTTTCTCCCCACACTCCCATCTGATACTACATCACATTGGAAATCTGTATTTATTTTCCACTGCTGTAAGTGTATATTCTTTTTTTGTGCAGACCTCAAAACCAACATTAAGTAATTTAACCCATCACAGATTTAAAACAACTCTAGACCACTGAGCAAAGTCCAGCTTATCTGTTTGGTTTCAGTGCTTTTAAATTAAAGTATTTCATTTTCTGCCATTGCCTCTCTCAGTACAAGCATCACAAGGAAGAAATGGATCCTCGTACTCAGATTGAAGGGAAGGAGACAGATGACTGGCTGTGCATTGATTTTGGTAAATATTTATGAATCGGACAATAGGAAGTTCTGCATGAGTTCTTTGTTGAAGGAAGCATCTTACTGTGGAGAGTTCACGATCCTCTGCTGTTTTGGAATTCCAGTTCTTGTTGCTTGAAATAAAGATTTTAAATTTTCACTAAAGATCATTAGCACTGAGAAGAAAGTAGTAGCTACTCTTCAGTGGCTAAAACAGATCTTACTAAATTGAAGATAACAGTAGTGGAAAGAGAAAAGCCACTTAAGTAAATTCTCTCAGGTTTTTATAATCCCTGTCTGGGGGAGTTGAGGCTATTTGTATGCTGCCCTTGTAGTGGACTTTTGAACAGACTTTTCCACTGTTCAGACCATGCTATGACACAGGATAAAACTTCAGTCCTAGGAAATTGAGTTTGATTCTTTATTCTACAAGTGTGAAACCCTCTACACAAACATAAAATACTTTGCATTTCTTCTTCACTACTAGCTCTAAAATCTCACCTTTTAACTTTGTGTTTTGGCTTAAAAGAGAGCATGGGTGAGTGAGGAGCGCTGCAGCCAGTGATGTTAAGCCTTGATTACTGTAAATTATTTTGATAGTTGTAACTGAGAACAGATTGAAATTTAAGGGCATAACTAGAAAAAAATGCATTAGAAGTACATTGGAATTAACCTCTGCTATTGCCTGCATAGAATTAATGAATATCTGTAAAAAAAAACCCAACCTTATTATGTCAAAGTTTGGACTGGTTTCATTATAAAAAGCACTTAAGAAGTTGAACAACACACATGAGGACAATTACTTGGCTGTAGCTGAATGTTGTTGCTAATGTAGGAAAGCTGAAAGTCCCTCTGTAACCTTAGGGAAGGGACTTTTCCAAGTAAAATTTCTCTCAGCTTATTTCCTACTGTCCTCTAGAAGTCATAACTTCTTTGGTTTGGAGTCTTGTGATAGTGTTTTAATTTAAACCAGAGTATTGTCCTTCTTATTCTCATGGCTGTAGTCTTGGAGTCTTTTGAGGGACTGACCAATTCTTAACTCTGTTCAAGAACTGGAATCGGCAGCTTAAGAGACCTTCATCAGCTGAGCTGTTACATCTAGCCAGAATGGGAGTGCAAGATGCACTTTCTGTGCAGCTGGAAGTGGAGTAGTGCTTTACAGTTTACATTTTTGCATTAATTAATTGTGAATTTCTCTTCTGTGCAGGTAGCATAGTGATGCATTTCATGCTGCCAGAAACACGAGAGATTTATGAACTGGAGAAGCTATGGACTCTGGGTTCCTATGACGACCAGTTAGTACAGATGACTCCACAGTCACTGCCAGAAGACTTCATATTTGCAGTGACTCCTAATAGCAGTGATCATCTTGAGACAAGAACTTAATGCAGCTGAATGGAAAGACAAATGAGTGTGCCGTCTGCCTTCACAGATCTGAGTGACATGCAGTCTTGGTTACTGACTTAACAGTCACTACAGTTGATCAGTGCAAAACAGTGTATTTACTGGATGTGCCTCAGTAAAGTTCTGAACAAGCTACAAAAAAGATCAGAACCATAGAACATTAAGGTTGGAAAAGACACTTGCATCCAACCATAAAATGTCACAGAAGAAATCCTATCATAAGGGAACTTCTGGGGGAGTCACTGTCTCAATGGAGTTTACAGTCAGAAGAGCGGGGCAAAGACAGCTGCTTAAGCTACTGAAAGTCTTGCTCAGTCTCTACAGTAATTGTTTTTCTAGTATCTTTGAAAGAACTGCCTGGAGTGACAGTGCAAGAAAGACGCGAGTGCTGCAAAGAAAAACGGTGAAATACTACAGTTTAGATGCGGCTTCTGATCATGATGAAGCAAGCCATGCTTCGAGCTGAAGGAGAAGAGAAAACAGACTGGTGTTAGTGAGCACATAAAGGCCAAGAGCAGCCATGACAAATAAATGTCTTGAATTAAGAGAACAGTAAGTCAGCTTTGCAGCCAAGGCCAATCTGTTTTTAATAATTAAAAAAAAACAAACCTGGTGAGCTTCCATTCCTTGTCTTCCTTCTCAGTGTGCAATTGGCCCTTCTCCTGGTTTTCCTCTTACCTAGTTTCTGGAAAAAGGACACTGAGGCACAAGCTATGGCAGCATAAACCTTCAGCTCCTGAGAAATGGGTGAAAGTAGTTGGAAGGAAGCCCTCAGTCACTGAGCATTATTCAGTGCTAATGGGCTGCTCTGCACTTTTGGAAGTCATTGCACAGTATATTTGTAGTCTGACTGCTGCATGGTCTAATAGCCAGTTAGAAGAGCTTCAAGACGGTAACAGAACCTGTTTATGTAAAATAAGATTCTTTTCTCCACTACAGGACAGGGCTTTCATCATTAGATTAAGATCCTTTCTCGAGAAGCTTGCCCTGCCATGCATAAGGAAGCAGGAACCCTGAAGGCAATCAGCCCATAGCCCCACAAACTACTTCAAGCTCTGTCTTCATCTCTTCCCTGCACAGCAGCTGCTGTTTGTAATGCTCAAAGAACATGACCTTGTCTCATGTGGTTGTGGTGTTTAGGCGGGGGGGG